AACAAAATAATTATAAACAAATTCCCTTTTCAAGGACTTTTAAGGCCTTGAACTATGATTTCCAAAAGTGACAACTTTCTTTCAAGGTGTATGCAAGCCCTGTATGAAAACCTGCTGAATCAGACAACAATTTGGGTGAACACTAAGCATCTGGCCCCAGTTAACGTTGTTTGAATGCTGGATAGCACTATCCTCCAGACAAATCGCTATCCAGTGGAGAAGAGTTAACAAAACAAACCACACTGTCCACTGGATAGAGATTTATCCGATGGATCGCGTTATTGACCTTTCGAACAACCTAGGCCTAAATTACACAGCGATATGAATGCTGACACAACAGCTAAGACATTGAATTCCTGCTTACACAACAGAGCATATTTATTTGCTGATTACCTGTGATGAGGCTGTTAAGCTGCAGTCTAATACCTCGCATGAGCTCCTGAACTGCTGAGCTCGACACACAGTTCAAACTAAGCTTCTCCTGAATTTCAAACAAAACAAAGATTGGGTATTAAAATTTCAAAGGAAACTTCAATGTCTTGCCCCAGGCCAAACCAAAGTGACCCAGCTGGCAAGCACTTGAACCTTTGTCACTAGATCGAAAGTCTAAAATGCTAAACATTAGGCCACGGTCTGTAGGTCTCCCATACCTTTACATAGAGCTGGGCGAATACAGAGTTTTAGAGAAGGGGTTCAAGATATCGGCTGCTGAAGGGGATCCTCCGTGGGGGATCTGAGGCGATCCTCCCCCGTAAAATTTTTCAAATTGAGGTCATCAGAAATGGGATTTCCAGCATTCTGAAGCCAAGTCAGAGCATGTTATAATGTCTCTCTTTTTTTTTTCAATCTAGGGGTTTTAACTGAGACCCCCTTGATCTGCCCCAGTATGGAGAAATATCATGCCCGACAAAGAGTATGCAGTCTGTCGGTTACCATTTTGATAGTAATCAGCAGTTCTATGCACTGACCAAGCTTAGGAACTTAATGGTATGGCATAATACACTGATATACATGTAAGTATATCGCCGATATTGCAATATTGCAGATTTGTCCTGGAAGTTCTTATTTGTAATGAACTGTAAATTCACAACAAAGACCAATGAGATTACAGAGCTGTCTAATTAAGGTAGTCAGCTACCATCTAGAATCCCTGTCTACTTCATGGCCTCGGCCAGTTACTCTGCTGAGCTATTCAATTGATTTGTTAGAAAAAGATGGCAAAATCAGCCACCTTCTAAAACAAAAACGGCCTGCAGCAAAACTTTCTGAAGACCCTGAGATAATTGCTAATGTAAGGATGCTCACCTTTATGACACCTCCCAGCTTAGCATCAGCGACAGCCAATTCTTGATGAATGTCTTTGGCAACAATTTTCTTTAAAACCTTTTTAAGACTCTTACTCATTTTGCCTTCCACTGTAGCTGTTGCAGCTGAGGATGAAAATAAACAATGACTCTGAATCATTTCTATCATATTCCTTTGTTTCAAATTGCTAACAACCAATAGAGCTCATTTTGTGAGAGGTATGGCAGCCCAGTGAGGATACATGTAGAATGGGTTGCAGGAGGTGGGATTCTGGCTCAAGGGGGAGGGCTACAGGGCTCGAAATTGCAACTCACTGGTCGCCAATGCGACCAAAAATTGAGCACTGGCGACTAAGTTTTCAGAACTGGTCACCAGCTGGTGACTCGCATTTTGTCCGATAACTAAAGAAAACCACAACACAACTTTTGTTTTTAAATCTTTATATTAGGAAATCAATCGGATATGGTAGCTAGTATACAGCTCACCTTTCCGTCCCCAGTAAAATTATGTCTGAATATTGCAAGATAATCGAAAAAATTGAATGTATTTTGACACGTTGATACTGCGTTCACGGCTTGCCATATTGTTTCAGCGGCTTCTTCCGAAACTGGAAAGGTACTTCATGTATGATACCTTATAATGTATCGTTATATACACCTGAGAACAACGGTAGCTTTATAACTAAGTGTTACTCATGTTGTTTCTAATTGTTTTTGCTCTTCAATTGTGACTTTTCTTACATGCAAAGTAATGTATAAAATTGTGTTCTTGTGTAAGTTATATATAAAATAAGTTGGCTACCAAAATTTACGATCTGGCGACCAAAATTTTTCCGTTAGTCGCCCGCTGGCTCCCAAACGAAAAAGTTAATTTCGAGCCCTGGGGTACTTGTCAAAGTTTTGGGTGGTGGTGTGCAGTCCAAACCTTGAAAATCAGACCAAACTCTGTGATTTTTCATACCCAATTTCAGACCTGAGCCAAAAATCCATACCCCATTTCGGACCTCTGAAATTAGTGCACACCTCTAATATATGACCACAACTAACCAGAAATGGGTTCCATTTGCACAAACATTTGAGAAGGACCACAGAAAAAAATGCCCAATGCCAAGCCAGAGTGAAAAAAATACCCAATTTCAGACCAAAATTGGTCAAAACCATACCCTTTGTAGCTGTACATATCTCTATAGCCCATGAAAGGGAGTAACCCCAGGGGATTGTGGAAAGCTAAAAAGCTACAGGAGATGGTAAGCATACTGGTTTGAATGATTATATGTAAGTTTTAAGCGCAAAATAAAAAATCATACTGTACAAAGTGAACAAATGAAGAGTAACTAACCTGCTAAGGCCTCAGTTGTGTCATTGAACTTTTCAAAATGCTTTAGCTTAACCCTGTAAAACACAAATTACTTTTAGATAACAAGCAAGCCCTTTCATAATTATGCATACAATTACTGTAACACAATCTAATGCTTTTCAAACACAAATAACATCAGACACGAAGGCTTACACTTGACTCGCAGCATCTGGTGTCTCAAAATCCTTATAAAGGTTGTCAATTTTCTGAAGTTTCTTCTCATCTAGGAGCTAAAAAAATACAAACTTTAGATGTACATTTCCAAAACGATCGATGCTAGCAAGTCCTATGAACACGAGAATGTACGGCTTCAAAACGAGCAAAATCAAGGTTTTCTGACTACTAAACGACAAGACACTTACCTTAAAAATTGCATACCCTGCTGGCGTTTCGAATAATACCAACATGGCTAATGAAAGGTTAAAATTTTGCACTCAAAACTAAACAAAAAACATGAGCAGCCCTGATAAAATTGCACGTGGAAGACAATTTACCAGCGGACTAGTTACTAGGCCACCACCAACAAGTCACATGATCATGCAGATGGTAAATATGCTCAGTGGGAGATTTTCTAAAAACAGGTGAGTTTGTGTAGTTGTTTTGTCTTTTCGATTGCGGTTTTCACGCCTTTAAAATTTATTTTCTGGATCAAAATGGTACTTCAAGAGATTTTATTCGGCACTTTAATCGCCTGCTCCTTTTTGCACGTCGATGCAAAGAGAAAAGAAACCGTAATCCTGGTTTCGTTTGATGGCTTTCGATGGGACTATCTCGACATGAATCGAACGAACACGGACCATTTCAACTCCATCGTGAAGGATGGGGTGCGAGCCAAGTATGTAAGGAACGTTTTTCCAACGGTAACATTTCCTAATCATTATACAATTGTGACGGGGCTTTACCCCGAGAGCCATGGAATTATATCAAACTCGATGTACGACCCAATTGCAGACGCTACCTTCAGCATGCGAACGAACGATCCAAAATGGTGGAACAAATTTGCTGAACCTCTGTGGGTGACCACCGAAAAGCAGGGACAAAAAAGTGGCATGTGTTATTGGCCGGGTTATGATGTCGATTACAACGGTTGTAAACCATCCTTCACCCCAAGTGGGTTGAGATTTAAAAGACCCTTTGTAGCTCGGTTTGATGATACCATGCCTTGGAAATCGCGTGTCGATTTGATCATGTCATGGTTAAAGAACCCTGATCCACCGACGTTTGTCACGTTGTATTTTAACTCTCCTGACGAAGCTGGTCATTGCTGTGGGCCAGATTCAGTTAACGTTACGGAAGAAATCAGGAAGAATGATGAAATTACAGGGTACTTATTGCAACAACTGGACAAAGACAACTTACTGGACAAAGTTAATTTAATTGTCACGGCAGATCACGGAACAGGAACCTTTAATTCAAGCACAGTTATTAATGTTGAAGAATTTCTTCCCTCTAGTAGTGAATATACTATGTGGGTAAATGCGGGAGCTTACTTTCTTTTAAATGCTATCAATGTGACAAAAACTTATAATCGCCTTAGGAAGGCTGGACAAAAACACCCTCAACTAAAGGTTTACCGCAAAGAAGAGCTACCAGATGAACTTCATTTTAAACACAACAATCTTATACCTGAAATCATTGTGATCATGGATGAGGGTTGGATTGCACGCATTTCAGGTGATGATAAAGATGTCTCCAAACATGTTACGTTCACTAAAGGGGCGCATGGTTGGATCCCATCTGCGTCGTCAATGCATCCTTTCTTTATAGCACGTGGCCCAGCTTTTAAACAAGGTTATAAGTCTGGTCCAATTGATATGGTAGACATCTACCCCTTGATTTGCCATTTGCTAAACATAGAACCGTTACCAAACAATGGATCACTTGACCGAATTGCCCATCTTCTTAAAGTATCACCTTCGTCAAGCTCAGATATGCATCATTGGCTCAATACTGGAGAAATTATTGCAGTTGTTATTGGTTCAGCAATAGCTATTACAGTTTGTATGTATGCAGTGCTAATGGTTTGGAAGGATCGCCGGCATGTAAATAGACAACGACAGCCTACAGATGGTGCTGTGCCTCTGCTTTTTGGTGACCCAGACGATGAGAATGTTGCTTAGGATTAAACGGGGGTGGGGGGAGGAGGTGGTGAATGGTAAATGCAAGACTTTGAGAGAAGGCGAAACCAGCATTTTCCTTTGCGAGCCAGAGACATTTTGAACCCTTCATTTGCAAGACCAAGAGTTACTTCTAAGTGTTTTAAATACAAGCTTGAGATGTTCAGGTTCTAAGACGGTTAGATGTCACTTATATTTATATGAAAAAAGAATCAAACAAATCGGTACTGTGAGACAACTGTCCGAAAATATTGAGACTATGAGACTCACATAACCACTAAAAAAAAAACTGTGAGACCTGTCAGATTCGACAAAAAGTTTGCATATCCCATGGTTTTTGAAGGACATACGCTAGCCTTAAAGGGATAGTTTCATGGTTTGGCACATGTGCAAGTTATGAATTAGTCCACCCAATGCCATTGTTGATAAACCAACAGCTGTGAGAAGGTAACACATCTGTCCGGTCCAGAGTAAAACCATCTGGCTAGAAAACAAAATTCAATGTTCAATGCTAAATTCAACATTTTTTTGTGTAAGTACGTTGACATCTTCATTGAAATTTGTGCATCAGTCATTCTGCTAGCCTTCGAGTGGCCATATGGCTGTATAAAGGCTTTAATTCTGCTTTCACAAAATTAGTCTACGAGTACTGAAAATGGACACGTTGTACATGTAGTTGATACAAAAATGTATCTGTACTTTATACATGGAGTCGGAACATGCCAAAGGAACTCTAATGAGAAAACTCACCTTTATTGTCATGTTTTTTGCAACTGACTGAGAAATTTTCAAAGGCAAGTTTCCCGCAAGAGTCATCTAAATGCTTCCAATTGTCTTATAAACAATGGGTTAACATCGTAGCTTGCACATGCCCCAAGCTGTGATACCTTCCCTTCAAAAGTTTCATTTAATATTGATAAAATTAAAATGGTAATAATGGTAATTCACAAACATTGCTTCTCCTAAGCACTGTTACTTCAAGCAACTGAGCTTAATTAGTCAGAGTAGTTGGCCAATTTCACTATTTGTGGGCCACATTTGACAACCTTAAACACTGGCACTTATCTCTGGTTTCAGTGGCATGCCTAATAGCAGCGACTGGGAACATTACTCGCACCCCTGGATGCGATGCTAGTTCATGGTGGGATTATCCCCCAGCATTGAATTCACCATTACCCATTCATACACCTGGGTGGAGAGGCACTGTGAGAGTAAAGTGTCTTGTCCAAGAGCACAACACAATGTCCAGTGCTTATTCAGACACTCAGCTCTGTAAGTTTTTAATATTGGTTTTCAATGGAATGGAGGACCACAAGTTGGGGTTTTTCTTATGCACAATGCGTGAGGGGTAGATTCTTGCAGGAAGTCTATTTGTAACTACCAGGTAAAGTATTGATTGAAATGCTTTTGATATTTGTGTAAAAGGTGCAAAATGATTTTTATTAATACCATAGTTTTCCTATAGCAACCATCTGGCTGGGGTTGCTCGAAAGGTGGATAATGCTCTCCACCAGATAAATAAATCACTATCCAGTGGATAGCATGGTTTTGTTTTGTCAACACTTATCCACTGGATAACAATTTATCCATTGGATAGCGTTATTCAGCCTTCAAAAAACTGAAGCCTGGTATAAGTGACATCCTATAGCAAGTGTGACTGTAAATTACATTTTTTCTATACCATGATTAGCAGGGGTGTAGCTAGCCTTTAACCCACTGCTTAACAGGAATTTCTGTAAACAATTTTTTTTGTAGCCGAGAGGCCATAATTTCTTTTTCTTTCTTTTCAATAGCGAATCACCATTATATCGTTTTATTTTGAAAAACAAAATAATGACTTTCAGTCTTACACATGACAAAATGCTGAAAGGTTATTAACAAAGCAGATCTTTGAAATAGTTTTGCACACGAAAATTTAGTTGACTGTTGTGTTTGTTTTGGACGTTGGCAAAATTTTGATATACGACTTACACTGTAAATTTTGGGCTCAAATGGAAAAAATGGCTGGCTACACCCCTGATTAGGTTTTATATCACAGACCTTCAGATTGCAGTACAAATACAAGATTGAGTACAAGACTTTCAAATTTCAATTTAGTTACAGGGTGGGGTATGTCCCCGGAGACTTCACTTCTTGCCATTGTTGACCAATTGAACAGAGGACTTTCAGAATAAGATTGGTGTCAAATGTGAGAATGAAAAGAATAGGTTCTTAGTTTGAAAACTTGTACTCCATCATAATAAATCTCATGCTCCTACTCCAATCTAAGGGTAGTTATTGTTGTCTGCACAATTAACTACAAAATATTACTCAAGGTTTTGAAGTAAAACATGGAAAAATTGAAATAGACTCATATTGTACATAAATATCAAATAATTTAGAATAAATAATACTTGTTGCAGGATAAAGGAACAAAGAATATCGACCCGTCCGAACATCGAGATTGAATATACATGGAAATAGAATAATAAATAGTTGTTTGATGGATAAGAAATTGAAGTGTTTTGCAGTAATAAAGCATCAACAGTGTATATAGTTTTATTAACAGGTATTACTGTCTAAGAATCTTGCGAGTTTTGTTCAGAGAAACTTTGACACCGGATCTTTCAGCATCTAAAGATCCTTAGAGATAAGATCTTTCAAGGATTCTTAAAGATCTTTATTTGAAGTCATATTGAGGTATTTACTGTCTAAGAATCTCAAGACTTCTGTGCTGAAAAACTTCTCTGGATCTCACAGGATCTAAAGATCCTTAAAGACCTTTAATCAAAATCTTATTGAGGTATTTCTGCCTAAGAATATTAAGACTTCTGTGCTGAAAACCTTCACCGGGTCTTACAGGATCAAAAGATCCTCAAAGATCTTTATTTAAAATCATATTGAGGTATTACTGTCTAAGAATCGTAAGACTTTTGTATTGAAAAACTTCACGGAATCTTTCAGGATCTATCAAAAGATCCTTAGATCCTTCATTGATTTTTAAAGAGCTTAAAAGAGTCTTGCAAAGATTCTTAAATGAAAGATCTTGGCAAGATCTTTTAGCAAAATAACTGGAGATCCTTTTCAGGATGTTCATGCCCAAATCTTCTCATGTTCAGATTTGTTAAAACTATAAAATCGAATTTCTCCTCACAAAGACAGCAAGACCTTGAGAACAGACCAAATTGTTTCTAACTCCATTCAGTAACTAGCAAACAAAAAGTTTTGACCTCTAATGGGCTGTTCACAAACACGGAGATTGAATGACTGCCACAAAAACATGCAAAAACCGAAAACCATGAGTTAAATTTGAGATTTCTCACAACCGTGAGATTATTTCTTAACCATCAACTGCAAGATAATTGTGAATGTACCAGCAAACCGGCTATCAAAATTGGCTTTAATTAAACCGTCAATACCTCAGAGTATAATAGACCCTTTACAGATCTTGGCAAAGTTATTTGAGAATCTTAAGTCAGATCTTCGATAAGATCCTTATGAAGATCCTCAAGGGTTTCTTAGAGAAAGATTTTAACCAGGGCTCTTTACAGTTTCCCCTTTGCAGATTACTCAGTCTGTCTAGAAATCAGGCCAAAATTTGAAAGTCAAGTTCTTAGTAAAATCAAGGTCAGGAGCATCATGAGTGAGATAAAATTTCACCATTTCCACATGTCTTCCACAGGTTTTTCTTTAGTTGCAACTTGAATTATGCTCTCCGCAAAATTTGGAAAAAAGAAATGTGTTATTTCAACAATACTTAAGTACCAAGGAAAATATATTTGCTGTTTCCTCAGCGCAACTCCCCTAATCATGGCAAGAGCATATTC